TAGAGTTTTTCCAGGTTTTCTAGAGAAGTAAATTTTAATGTAGGCATAAAGGTGTCCCCTACTCATGGATTAAATTAGGCAAAGAGTTCCACTTATATCAGGCAAAGAGCTCTCCTTTGGGTCTGGAAAGATCTTGATGTGTTAACCACGGAAAAAGAGGACCCTGTCTCTTCAGCCTAGGGTCTGAATATACTGGTGGCCCACATCTTAAAACTTTTTCATCTCCATTAAAAGGTGAAATAAAAAAGAGATAAATAGTAAACATGAGAAACTTAACTTCAAGATGATCTGTTTTGGGTAAGTAAAGTAATGAAATTAAGCAGTCATAAAAATCTCACTGAATGAAAGTCACAAAGGCTCAGATGCAGGGCTTAGTCCCCATCAGAAATCAGGAGAAAACCAGAGCCTTGACCTAAAAGATGAGTCTGACATTCAGTTTAGACAGGGACACAGAAGGCAAGGCGGGCATATTAAACCATCCTGGGTCAGCTCTTGCCAGTCAGAGATGCTAAAAGAAAGTATATGGCCAGAATAATGGGAAATTTCCACTATCCAGACCAAGCAGGTCAGTTAGTACCAGGTGGGCAGATGCCTCCCACAGGGAACCCCCCAAAAGCCCCCTAAGGAAGCTATACAACCAAAACCCTACCGTTTTCCTAAACGAGGGTAGCTGTGATATGACAGGTTGGTAGAAACACGCCTTTAGGATTATACAAATGACTTTTTATGGAAGTGAAATTATTCTATAACAAATACGTATGGTAAATAAAAAATAATTTATTCAGGGTTTTAGATAAGCAAATAACATACAAAGTAATTTTTAATGAATATACACAGCTAAACTATATGAAAGGGCATGGTATTCACTACTGTTTTCACTCAGCCAGCCAACAGTACAATTTAAAATACATCTCTATCTATTCATTTCAATGAAGAGTCTGAACAAAAGCATCTTCTGAGAACAGTTTTGGGGCTATACCTTAACAATATTAATGAAGATTCCA